GGAAAGAGTATTTTCTCTTTTTTTATGTACAAAAAACTTTGATATTCCATACAATAGTTGCTAAAATAGGAAACTCATCTTGCTTTTCTGAGTACAATTTATGACAGATGACCTACTTTCTTGGCTTTTGAGTTCTTGGCACAGGCTGAAAACTCTCTGTGCTAAGGTCCATTCTGTTGTTTATTAGAAAACTTGTTAGTGAAGAGATTGGTGCAAAATAATATTTACATACCCTGCATGATTTTTTTCTGGTAAATAATAGCTTGCATGAACAGGTTGCAGCTTCCTGGCTTTTTGCACACACTCACACATTTTTCAGCCCTTCTTTTGTCACATACGCTATCAATATCCTTATTCTCAGGAGGAAGCCTGGTAGTAAAATGTCAGCCCTGACTGAATAACTGCAGACCTACTTGTAGTGTATAAAACCAGGCATATTTTTAAGTGATTAGAGAAATACATCAGAGTAGTATGCAGCATGTACATTCAGGAGATGTTAACATAGGGATAATTTGTGCTCTGCCACACTGAATATAAATTTTCAGTAGCTGTGCTAAATATAGCTACTTGACTTTTGATCAGTGCAACTGAGAGCAGTACCTGATTGTACACATAAAATACCTATAGTGCGTAATTTAAGCTAAAGGCAAACACACTAAATCGAATGCTTGCATAGGTTTACTCTATGTGTAATCCTCCCCTCCAAATTTCATTTAAAAAATAGCAGTATGATCAGTGTGAAACACTGTTGAATGTATTGTAGAAAGTACGATGGGTTGGAATCTGCCATATCATCTTGCTTTTTCGTTGGATTGCTGAGTTGATTTAACTTTCCCCTTCTCCCCGCTCTCTCTTTTGTGTAGTACAAACAAAATCCAGAAATGTTTAAACAGACAGCTCGACTTTGGGCACATGTGTATGCTGGAGCACCAGTTTCTAGTCCAGAATACACCAAAAAAATAGAAAACCTTTGTGCTATGGGCTTTGATAGGGTAAGTATATATAACTTAAATATTTTTCAGTAGTGGCAGGGCAAGTGTACGTATATTAATACGGGGAGTCATTAGTATACTAAAGTAGACTCGCTACTGCCATGACCTTTTGTAGGTCTACTCATTCTGTTTTGCTAACTATTTTTAAGAATTAGAGTTCTAAATTACTACGTTATTAGTAAATCTTGTGCACTACCGCTGCCTTTTCTGAAACAATTTTTCTATAAATTATTAGTTAGGATTTAACAAATGGTAAACAAATGTGTTCTGATTAATCTGTGAACTTTTCATTCCACTCCTCAGAGCTGCAGGTTCACACACTGAAAAATGTTATTGCTTTTGTTTTCTCATTGCAGAATGCAGTAATAGTGGCCTTGTCTTCAAAATCATGGGATGTAGAGACTGCAACAGAATTACTCCTGAGTAACTGAGCCATGTAGAGAGCGCTGCTTCGGTAGTCCAGCTTGCCCTTTCTGGAGGAGCATCACCATCTGTTATTTTTAGGATTCTATATAGATTCTCTTTTAAAACTGGCACTCTTGCCTGATGATGCTATCTAGGCACTATTGGAGACTGAAAAAACCGCTTTGTAAATAAAGCTAATTAAACGTCTGTGTAAATTTAAAAAGGGGAAATACTTTAATTTTTTTTCTTACTAAATATTGTAAAAATTCTTTGAGCTCAGCTAAAATAATGGGGGAAAAACATGCCTACTTTAGTGTTTAGCAGTGTGACGAGGACTAGCAGGAACTTGCTTCAGGATTTTGATTTAGTAATTCAGAAAGCAACATTTTTGAGTGTTAGTCATCAAAATTGTTGGTGCCACTCATCACAGCTATCTTACTGTTTTTAACATGGATCCTATGTGCCTGTGGATTGACCTATATTTGCATGCTTGTACTTAATAGACATATTAGGTAGGGTCGCTGAAGAGAGCACCTTTGAAATACTCGAGTGTTCTTGTAACTTTTTTCCTGAAAGATTTTCAAGACTTACCCAAAGTTCCAAATGGTGACCTATTCAGAACCAGTTTCTTTCTAGCTTATTAATTGGGAAACCTGATTCTCCTCTCCCTTACGTCATACAGCTGAAAATCCTCACTTAGGTTATGTTTCATCATCCGTGGGTATTATGTGTGCCATTTACAGTAGTCTAGGCTCCCCTTTAAAAAATATATTTTGAATTATCAGTGATGATTCTCATCCATCATGTTTCCTACACAATCTCGTAAGGACTATGCCTCGATATAGCACAAAAAGATGGAGCTGGTTTTCTTTCCTTTTTTTTTTTGTCTTAAATAGATGTAAAATGTTCTCCAGTACATTCTGGATAATATGATTTCACTGGGTTTGAAGGAGGAAAAAGCTGACTCTCTGGCGTACTGAGAATTAAAAAATTTTTCTTTGAGTACTTGATATGATGCAATCAGCTGTTTTTTGCAGCGGTTTTCTAGCTTTATTTTGGGCTTCAACTTAAGGATTGCTTACCAGGTACTTTAAAATTCATCCTTGCTTGCTTTTTTCTCTGGTTGACACATGGAGGCTGTGTTGGTGTTTTTACTGTACATACTTCAAATGCACATAGAAGTAGAAGTGTGTTCTCAATTTAGCTTTCTTTTGGATTGATGTTTCTGATAAACGAGAACTGAAATCTTACCTTGGCTTGTACATACAGTCAGTCTTTTTATTCGTATTAAAATGACATTTCATCCTGAGTGCAAAAGCTTGAAAATTATTAGTTTTGCAATTTCAAACACTAGTACATCTATTTAAAGAGAGCTGTAATGTCTTTGTGAATATGATGCTAACTTTTGAGAATATATCTGACAAGGAAGTTCAGAGAAATCCTGAGACTAGAGACTGGGGATTGTGGATAATGGAGTACTGTATAAGTCATCTTTTCCATGACTGTTTTTTCTCCGAAACTGTGGATTAATGGGGCGGGGAAATATATGTCTGTTTGGGGTTTTTCTGGAGCTATGAAGTACAAGTTGAAATCGTTTCACACTTCATAGACAGTCTGTTTATAAATCATACTAGAGGAAATCGGGAACGTTATTGTCTCTGTTAAATATCTGGAGCATAGTGGTAGGGGAACAGAACCAGAAAATAGAGCTGTAGAGACCTAGCTAGTTCAGGGATGTTCCCTGTACTGCTCTGTCTGACGTGTCCCGACTTAAAATATTTCAGGGCACAGACAGTAAATACTTTGAACTCATATCAGTGCAATACTAAATGCATTTGCTTAGTCTTTATACTTACTGCTTTTTAAGGTGTAGTCAGTGATGAGTTTTCTTGAGTTAGTGTAAATCATTTGCAACGATGCCAAAGGAAATGAGTTGTTTTGTCTTTCCTTATATTTATTTATTTTTTTTAACAAGAAGCTGCTGCTGTTCAGCTGGTTTGCTAGGTGAAAACCAGGGACGGTAGGAAACTATGGCAAAATGCCACTTGTGTTAATCTCAAGTTGCTGTCTTTTCTGTTATACAGGCTAAGAACTTCTTGATTACATCAACATCTTTTTTTTTTTTTTTTACCCTGGTGGTAATTATAAATTGCTGACTACTTTCCCTTGTTCTTCGCTGCTATTTATCAAAAGAAAGAACTTGGAAATCATTGTTGGGGACGTAAAATTTCTCAGTTACAGGCTTCTGAACGTGGTAAGATTAGTCTCCTAAGGACAGCAGGTTTTCCCAGCAGTGTGTGAAGGGGTAAAGGAAGCCAGGGAGAGGGGAGGGGGAGAAAAGAGGAGCCGGTTCTTAGGTGAGCGTGGCCACCTCTGAAATAGTGCCCTGGTAAGCTTTACTGCTCTCATGAAGTTACCTCATGCATAGATGTTGGATACTGGGTTTTGCCCTCCATCCATGTGCTTGGTAGCAAAGATATCTTGATGGTAGCTCAGGTGCTGGCAGGGGGGAAGCTTCTCAAGAAGTGAGCTGGGAAGGAGACATGACCCAGCATTAAGGAGACATCTGTGGTCTGAAGTCCCTCTGAATTTTGACACGCGAGTCCTTTATAAGGAATGTTTTTGATGTTCTTGGTAATTATCAGAGTTGAATATAGGGATAACGTTGTACGAGGTTAGTTTAACTGCAGCTGGGGCTGAGCCCTAGGAATTTTGCTGTTAGTGTTCAGTTTATCATTGTGAGTTTGTACATACCAAATGGTAGTTCTGTTTCCTGTCTGACTGACCGTTGCTGTATTCAGGGCCCTGTGCATTCACAGACGTGGAGTTGCCATGCCGTCCTCTCCAGCTGCGGACTCGGGCTGCACATTGACCACTTTCTTACAACAAGAACATAAAACATGGGTATGGTTGCTTTCTAAGTACAAATAAATCCTGCGTTGTCTTCCTCTATTGTGTAAGAAGATGGCTTGAAACAGTAGTTTTGAAGTCTAAATGGCCCCGTTTTTCTAAACAAGGTATTGGTAATGACGCTTACCGATTGCCAGAGCATCAATCAGATTTCACTGCTGAACGTTTTAACATGCATCCAGCAAAGTGGTTTATCCCTTGTTTGTTTTATTGGTGGGGAACAAGAAACTCCTATCTCGTCCAGTTCCTCAAAGGGTAAGGTACGGCTTTGTTCAAAGGCAGAGAAATGCCCTTTCCTGGTGCCAAAAGCCTCCGTTTTCCCCCGAGTGCCAAAAGCCCTGACTGTATCCCACCCCCCTGCCAAACTCACAGCTGCCTCCTGTTGCTTCTGCGAACAAGCTGTGTTCTCAGCGTGACAAACCGGTGCGTTTTGGAGACAAAAACTTAGGGACATATCCTTCTGGAAAGATGCGGCACTTAGTGCTATTCATTCTGCATATTCCAAACTTTTTTTTTTTTTTTTTTTTTTAAAAGCTTGCCACAGAGTACACGGGGCCTTGACTATAATTGGTTTGGTAGTATTTATCCGAGCAATTAGGTACTAATGGTGTAGAAATATGTCTTGGTTTGTTTTTTTTTTTTAAATTATCATTGTATTTAACTGTTTTCCAAGTAAATTAGTACTGGAACACTGTCATAAGGAATATAGGATTTTTTTTGTTGTTGTTGTCTGAAAGGAGGAATTAAATAGCCAGAAAGAAGCTTACCTTGTAATGCCAAATCCGCATTATATGGTGTGGGTAACAGAAACATTTAAACTATGCAAATTTAAGCTTAACAGCTGTGAATCAGACTAGGCACTTCAGAGCGTATGGATTGCTTATTTAATCGGGGAAGGGAGGAGGGGAGGGGGGGAAAGGAAAACACAGTTTCAAGGAAGAGTTCTTGTTTACTGCCTCGGTCGTAGGCTGAAGGTGAAGCGCTCCATTTGCAGCGCAAGGGGAAACCCGACTGCGTGCGTCTCCCTTGTTTCCTTCCTAAATACCAACAAAGGCTAGCTTAGACTTGGAGGCTTGCCCAAAGGGGGAAACGTTAAATAATTTAGCAGTGAAAGTTAGTTTTACTTAATGTCAGCTCATCGGCAGACACAGGGAGATGATGAGATGTTCTCTCCTGCTCTGTTTTGTTGATAGAGTTGATGAGGAGCATCTCGATGAGCGTGGCCACTGATTTGTCATCAGGTGGTTGGTTTTCTGTGGTTTTGATGAGCAATTGGCTCAACAATAGATAGCGAAAGCGCATTTCATCATGCCGTCTGTCGCGTCGCAGAGCTAAAGCGTGAAAGTAAAGATGCTCGTTGGGTGCCTAAAGCTTCTTCTGGGAAGACCACGTAGATGTTTTCACTGTCATCGGCCTCATTTTCCAGGCACAGCTTTCTCCTATGGCAAGGCAAAGGGGCAGTTGCTTCTTTCTTGATAGTTTTCTGATCTATCCCAAACCCATCAGTAGATCACGTAGCTTGCTTTTCCCGTTTGTGGTGTTAGTGTCATCAGCTGATTCATCATCGGACTCACAAGACCAACTGTCGTTAACACATCTTGCTCTTGCTCGGTTACTCCAGCTGCAGCGCTCTGTCGGTAGCAACTCCAGATTTGTTCTCGCTGGACAAACTCTTGCAAGTCATTTGCACTGTACTGTGATGTGATGTTCCTTCCCTGCTGTTACCTGCTTTGTAGGCATCAAAATAGCTAGGCGATCGCTTATGGTGCTGAGCCATTCATCGATAATGTAAGTTAAGATACATGACTCGACAGATGAGGAAATGTACTGTGAAAATGCTGTACTTGTCCGTTTTCCGATTTGCGGCAACCGCTGGTGCTCTGTTGTGGTGTCTGAAGGAGGCTGCCATCATACGAATGCTGATGTCAACTGTTGAAGAACCCTGCTTTTCACTTGCCTTTATCCATCCTAAATTCTTGACTTTTCTAATTTAAAAAAAAATATATATATATTTACCAATAAAAAATATTGCAGGAGGCTGGTTCCTGAGCACCAGGCTTCCTGTACAGGAGGAGCGGGTGGGCTGGAATGAGGCATCAGTGTTTTTTGTCTTGAAAATAAAAACTACACAAACACTTTTGTACACAAATGATTTTTTAAATAAACACACATTTTAAAAGATGTTGATTTTCACTGGGAATGCTTAACAATAAATGCATGTTTCCCTGAAAACAGTTTTCATTTTATTTCTGGTAATTCAGATTGTTCTGAGATTACAGGGTATATTGCCTCCATGTCGGTAATGAAAGGGA